TTTCTATGGAAATGTGCAGGCTTCCTTCAGATCATCTGGTGTGCATGCTATTTGCATACTGAATTCTCTGCGTTTTAATTTCACCTCAAAGGCAGTGATTTACTTTTGAAAGGTTAGAGATGAAGAACTTATTTAACAACAATACTCTTTGTCGGTTTAACCTTAATAACAAATAAGAAAGCTTTTACATTTCTATCCAGAAATGTGTTTATTTGAGAGACAAACACCACAGATGAAGTCAGAGGCTGCAAGACAAAACATACGTGGAGCTGCTACAGGCATCAAGAGCAATACTGCAAATAGGAAATGTAGGACTCATTAGCATAGATCAGACTCAACTTGTGTCTCATCTGTTGTCATGTCTCCAAAATGGCCAAATAATTCTGTTTAGGCCCTCAGAGAGATCCAGCATACCACAGTAAACCTTTAATTCATAAAGCATCTCCCAGAAGTGACCTGCCAGTGTTTCTATTCACACAATCAACCACGTTAGTTTGTAATTATTTAACTGAATCTTAACAATGTTTTTAAAATTCACTGCACACGCTGTCCTAAATCTTAACAAGCACAACTCTCCTCCTCCCTCACTTTCCATCCTCTACCAACTGTCCAGCATCTTAAATGGAGCTGCTGGATTAGCAAACCCAGCAGAAACAATCACAGCCATCGGTGTGACTCCTAGGGGAGCGAAGGGATGGATAAAGCTTTTTTATGAAGAAGGAAAACAGGAGTATAACAAATAAATCCCATCAACTGCTTATATATTGTGAGGCTTATACAGAAAGTGGGATATTGAATAGTGGTGGTGAATAGAAAGGCAGGATTACAGGACAAGGATTTCACAGAGCTACATGTCTTTGCTAAGTTTCACTTCCACGACTTAATATTGCTTTCACCTTGACTGAAAGAAAAGCTTATAAGATTTGATACTGAACAAAGAAGGAGGGAAAAAAAAGGGCTGGAAACTATCATGAATAATTCAGACTTTTGATCCCACATAATTCTTGCCTTGTAGATAGAGAGAAAGATCATAATGTCAGGTTTGATACAGAATCAAGTAAAGTTTGTATTTTTAATTAACTCTTTGGATATTTCCAATTAATTAAGAGCAAATTGAGAGGGAACATAATTAAAATGCATCTGGTTTTAAAAGAAAAGTCAAATCTGCTGGCTAGCACCAGGCTTATTGGAAGTACAGATGTATATGCCAGATTTGAGAAATTAAGTCAGCGTTGCCAATTTTAGTTTTCCATTTGCCTGAGGAAGTTATTTTTTGAATGAAAGCATAATGACAACTTGGTTTCCACTGCATCAGTCATCATGATAATAAATAGGCAACTACAATTTTCCGCCTTAGCTTTTACATTTTACAGTTTTGGAAGATGGCATTATAGAGATTAACTGGCTAATATTAAATTGGTATGGAGCATCGTGATATTTCTACAGCAATAATGATGATTCTTTCATGATGTAGTTCAAAGGCCACACAACACCTAAGAGGAAGCATAGTGAAGAGGAAGCAAAATAATATTAACCTCGAAATTACTCTGTTACCCTTTGACTTACTCCCTGCTCAAATTACAACAACAGTTAGTTTCTGGGCTAGAACATGAATCTGGCTTTTTTGGCCATGAAAATTAAATGGGAGCAAAAGATGAAGAGAATATTAGGGGGAGAATGTTAAACCCTTACATGAAAGTCAAGGCAGTGAAGCTGTATTAAACAGTAGTGATGGAGAGAGAGCTGGAGATTCACTGGAATATTTCCCCAAGGACTTGTCAAAGAAGTAGAATTCAGTAAAAATGATTTTTCTTATGTTTAAACAGAATTTCCTGCATTACAGTTTGTGCTCTTGTCAATGGGCACTGTGGAGACTCTGAAATTCAGTGAGGCTCTCCGAGAAGAGTCTGGCTTTATCTTCTTCATTCCTTCCCATCAGGTATTTGCAGGCATTAGTAATACCCCCCATGAGCTTTCTCCTCTAGGCTACACAACCCAAGTTCTCTCAGTGTTTCCTCATATGTCAGATGCTCCAGTCCCTTAATTGTGTTGGGGCCCTTCACTGGACTTGCTCCAGGAGGTCCACATGCTTCCTACACTGGTGAGCCCAGATCTGTACACAGCACATCAGACGTGGCCTCACCAGCGCTGGGCAGAGGGGCAGGATCACCTCTATGGACATGCTTGGCAATGCCAAGCCCAGGATGCTGTTGGCTTCTTTGCTGGGCGAGTGCAGTGCTGGCTTGTGCTCAACCTGTCTGCCAGGACCCCAAGATTCTTCTCTGCAGAGCTGATTTCCAGCTGGGAAGCCTCTACCCAGTGTCTACTGGTGCACAGTTTATTCTTCCCCAGGTGCAGGGCTTTTACTGCCCTTTGTTGAACATCATGTGGTTCCTTTCTGTCCACTTCACCAGCTTGTCAAAGTATTGCAGCACAACCACCTGGTGTATCAAACACTCCTCTTAATTTACTATCATCTGCAAATTTTCTGAGCCTGCACTCCATCCTGTAACCTTCAGATCATTAATAGAGAGGTTAAATAGCATCAGCCCCAGTACTCTTAGGGTACTCCAAATAGTAAGGAGCCTCCAGCTGGCCTTTGTGTTACTGATCACAACCTAAGCCCAGCAGTTCAGTCACTTTTAAAGCTACCTTACTGCCTCTTTGGGCTTTGATTTTAAAGGGTCATTGAAAAATATGAGCTAAGAGGATATGCTTGTCCTTTTACCTAGAGAAGTAGCTATCATGATTTTGGCAGCAGTGAAAAGAAAACTACCATGTCCAATTAATACCTGTTGGGAGCTCATCCTCCCTTCATTTGCATCAACTGCCATCTGGTCAGTTTAGTCTCTTTAATCAAAGTTATTTATCATCCTTTATTTACAAATGGAAAAAGAAAAAAAAAATTAGCTCATAAAAGTACAGACTACCTCATCTACAGCTCAAAACCCTGATATTTTATGAGTCTATTAGACCTTTCCATAACACAAAATACTGATGCTGACATGCAGTATTGCCACAAAGAAGGTCTAAAGATTTTTACTGTGCTTTTCATACCTGACAAGTGGAAGAAATACACCACTTAAATGGAATGACAGGCAGAGATCTGACCTGCTGTAATGTGTCTTTCCATTTTGACCATATCTGGGAACAATGAGGCAGTTTAACTCTACAACTCTTTTTTTCCCTAGGTTTTTAAAAGACAGCAAGAAAAATGAGATTTCCTAGAAGCTCAGAGTAAAAAGGGAATTTCTTGTCTTTGTTGAGGTTATTCATGTGTTAATTTAGGTTCTACTTTTGCAGGAAGCCCACATTTAATTTCAACCGTTTTTACTGA